CATTTCGTCCCACTTTTTCAAAGTAGTTTGAAGTTTAGCAGCGGCCAATTGACAAGCAGTTAAGAAAAAAGGTGGGGCAGAATGATAATCAGGAGCTTTGGAAACGGCATCTAGTACCGGTGCTGGAGAAGATTACGCTTCATTAAACCCACTTGTAGTGACACACTCTTAGGCGACATTGGAGGAAACGAGATCACATAATTGTGTGAATAAGTGGATCGGCCATATGAAGTGGGGTTGAGAGAATGAGATGCAGTACTTAATGGTAGAACAAAACCTAAGGGCGAGGAGTGATGCCACAACGGTCGAACAGAAAATTGGCCAAGAGGATTGCTTTCACTTGTCAATTTGATAAGTTGAAACTATGTGTTGCTGAGGCCATTTCTCACGGACGATGCCGACTACACTGCGAAACATTCGGGAATGTACCAAGTCAATTGTCATATGATGGAAATCACGACTACTATGGCAGAGAGTACGGGACTAGGTACGTTCCATAAGGCCTCCCTGATGCTTCGACCAAATTGACAAAACGAGGTCGAATCAACACTATAAAGCTAAAAGAAAATGTGACCAAAGGTCACATCAACTTGGTCTTCATATCTACGTTTATATATACAATGCATATTCTTGACTAAGAAATCACATTATGAAGTAATAACTGAAATTTGATGCATATTTCGCATACACCGATAATTTCTCGCAATAATCTCAATAAAGCGACTGTATGAAACTCACTTATTTATTCAAAATCTATGGATAATTTAGACAATTACTTCAGCAGTATAGTGTAATTTCATCGTTGTCTTTAATGACCTCTTTTTTCAATATTGACTAGGTTTTCGAGACCCAGACGAGGTCGAAACTGCAGTCCCCTATGGATGAGAATACTTCTTGGGAAAGCAAGGCTATGTGAAATTCCATGGAAGCTTGAGCTCTACTCGTATCATTGTGGGAAAATTAAACTACCTTAAACGAAATAGGGTAAACACATCTCATATCATCAATAACTCTCCCATCATAACATGTTAATCAGGAGAAGTCTGGCTTGCCATTAAAATAGTATTCGCTCAATAATTCACTTGTATTCGTGGCTGTGATGGAGTTGTAACATTATCGCTTGGCGAATACAGCTAGTTTAGAATCCCATGTGGGTTGCTGTTGCCCGAGACAGCAGTCCAGTTCATATGAGAAAGCCTTTTAGCTAGAAAGACCAGACGAAATTGTATGGTCTTATATAATTTTCATTTGGGGAAATTTAACTATCATTATTTATATCGCCATGAGCAGATTAGGATGACTCGTTTACATTTTCTAGGTTTATTAAAAGTTTCAGAATGTTAGGCTTTCCCACGAGAGTTATCATGTCAATAATGGAGTACTGAAAAAGTGCGAGTGGCTAGAAAAAGAGCATGTTTATTGTCACTTAAATGTGTTTTTGAATGTCTATTTGCTTGTTGATGTACTGAAGGCACGCAGAATGGGAGCGGCCTGATAGATGACAGCCAAACTGTGCTTTAAGTAGACCCTTAGAGAACCCACCTCATTTTGGCGGCTTGAAACATGCTGACTACCCTCATGTTTCACACAAGCCGCCACCAGTTTAAAGGATGTGGCGCAAAAAGCCTGTTCAAAATGAGTTGCCAGTGTAGAATGTCTTGGCTGATCAGGATAAGTGGTTTTGAGGCTAGAGTAAGGCATGAGTATGCTAAAGTGTGAGAGTGTGAATGGAGAGAAGTGGAAAACATGACTGAGCGCCAGAACAATGCATACGAGGCCGATGTCAGCATAAACGGAAATGAAAACGAAGAAATCTCTGCAGCAGGATTGCACATTTTCACGTCACTGGGGCATGTAATTTTACATGAACATGAAAGAGTTTGCATGTATGCATGTGTAGGAATGCATTGATAATAAAAGAGGTTTCGCTTGTCTATAGTGAAAGAGGGGAAGAGCTCCTTTTACCCTCTTTTCAAAAGAGAATCTGAAGTATCTTTTATGCCATTGGCTGCACGCCATTAATCTGAAGTGGCTTATCTTCACTCGAGGGGCCCGGAAACATTTGCATACAAATGTTAAAACCTGACCTTAATAGGGCCCTATTGAGGCCAATCACAATTGAAAGTTGGAGTTTCTGATTAATGAAGAGGGCACAAATGATCCCCACGCACTGTCCTACCCGTTTTCTGTTATACTCGAAGCTCATACCTAAATTAAAATGCAAAGAATTATGTCTAAGCCGTTTGCCTAAACGAGAAGCCACTGTCTCAGTACAACATTTAAAATACGCCTCATTTCGAATTAAATGTCGCTTTGACAGTCAGCCCGTCTGTAGAGTTGAGATGCATCAACAAAATATTTTGTACTACAACAAATTTATGTCATATTAGATACGAAGCGTAAATGGGTTTTGATGAAGCTCCTAGGATAACATTGTTGGGGAGACCTTCATTTCGCATAAAAGTGCATGGAGAAGAGATTCGTATGTTGATCTAACCAAAATCATGTTTTATTGCAGACGTTTATTTTCAATACGACGTTCAGGTTGACGCAGTCCACGAGACGCCTTCCTACGCTTCTGGTGAAAACGGGCTGCGCTTTCGTCCAAGATAAAGCCATGATCGAGACTGCTTAAGTCAGTGAGCAAGAGACAACAAGATGAACGCTTGTAAATGTGTAAGTCAAGTTACGAAACCACATGTCCTAACCTCTCAATCTGGGGTCGTTGAAGTTTGACCACTCAAGGAAAAGCATGATGAAGCTGCGTAATCTCGTACATCTAACCTGAGCAGGCAAGTTGAGTCGTCTTCTTTTGGATGGCAGCTCAACACTATGACTCTTCTTCAATCTATCAATCAAGTATAAGTAGTTCTTAATCAACTTCATTCTACCTTGCCTCATATTCAACGTAGTCCCTAATCTATTAATTTCAATAGCCTATCTTATTTTTATTTCGACAGCAGACGTACCATAATCACCATCTCATGTCCAGTCTATGCCATGCGTTCGGTTACTTCTGA